AGAGGTCTGTACCTCCCGTTCTCTTAAGATTTGCCTAAAATGGGCAACAACATTGTCATTGTACTAGTCACCAGTACGGCTTACAATAGCTGTGTTAGGGTGATTTTCATCCATAAGGGTTTGCACTTCAACCCACTTTGCACACATTTCCCTAATCTTTGAAGTTGGCACAATGGATTCCACAACTGGCATAGGCTTCTCAGGGTTAGCCCCAAACCCTTCAAAATCTTTCTTAATTTCCGTACTAATTCTCACCCTTTTTACCACAGGGTTGGCACTAGAAGCTTTCTTGGGGCCCATGGTGACTTATTTTGCAGTTACAAGCACAAAAAACACTGGGATAAGGTGAAATGTACCGAATGTATGCGTGGATACGATCGCACTGGCTGGCTTTTAAACACTGGCGCTGAGGCCACAATTGGGATGCGTCCCAAATGAATCGTGTAAGGCGAGTTTTTTATCGTGAGACGAGGCAAAATTTTTGCATTAAAATGCTTCGTATGGCAGATTTAACGTAGCGCAATCAGTTCGTAAGGTGTGGGTCCGCTGTACTTTTTAAATTTAGTAAAAATCGAACATTTCTGCTACTTTGAACTCAATTTCAAGGTACTTTTCATTGTGAAACCAATCAAAATCATCTCACTTTCTGTAATATGTCTTCCATTCTATAAGATGAGACCAGGAAAAGTAAATACAACTATAAATACTATGCGAAAATACACTGCAAAGTCGCTGCTTTAAACCAAAAACATGGTCAGAGTTTTTTTTTTTCTCATGCACTGCGTGCTGCAGGATTTTTTGTATACTGTGCACACTGACCACATAGACCCATTCTTTCATATGTAGGCCTACCAGCTTTCTCTCACTAGATTTGAAGGTGCTAGAATTTAGGCATTCTAGTACAGTGGACCCCCGCATAGCGAACTTAATCCGTGCAAGAGGGCTGGTCGTTATGCGAAATGTTCGCTATGCGAATTAATTTTCCCCATAAGAAATAATGGAAATAAAATTAATCCGTGCAAGACACCCAAAAGTATGAAAAAAAATTTTTTTTACCACAAAAAAATGTTAATTTTAGTACACACAAACTGAAAAAGGCATGCACAATTACATGACACTTACTTTTATTGAAGATCTGGTGATGATTGATGGGATGGGAGGAGGGGAGAGAGAGTGTTAGTGTTTAGAAGGGGAATCCCTTCCATTAGGACTTGAGGTAGCAAGTCCTTTTCCGGGGTTACTTCCCTTCTTCTTTTAATGCCACTAGGACCAGCTTCAGAGTCACTGGACCTCTGTCGCACAACAAATCTGTCCATAGAGCTCTGTACCTCCGTTCCTTTACGATTTGTCTAAAATGGGCCATAACTTGTCATTGAAATAGTCACCAGCACGGCTTGCAACAGCTGTGTCAGGGGATTTTATCCATAAAGGTTTGCAGTTCAACCCACTGTGCAACATTTTCCTTAATTTTTGAAGTAGGCACAATGGATTCCACAATGGGCATAGGCTTCTCAGGGTTAGCCCCAAACCCTTCAAAATCTTTCTTAATTTCCATACTAATTCTCACCCTTTTTACCACAGGGTTGGCACTAGAAGCTTTCTTGGGGCCCATGGTCATTATTTTCCAGAAACAGCACCGAAAACACTGTAATAATACGAAATATTCCGAGTGTATGCTTGAATGTTACCGCGGAGGCTGGCTGGTAAACAATGGGACGGGCGGCACATGTGAGGCTGGCTGAGGCCGCACATTGGACGCGTCTCGGACGAAGGTCGCTGAGCGGGTTTTTGTCCACTATGCGGGGCAAAATTTTGGCGAACAAAGCGTTCGCTATGCGGATTGTTCGCTATGCAAGGCGTTCGCTATGCGGGGGTCCACTGTATGTCAATAGCCCTGGTGCATATGCCGTATTAGTACGTCGGAAACCCTGAAAGGGTTAATAACATAGAAACATGATATATACTCTAGAATAAATAAAATGTCACGAGTGGTGGTGTGCCGTTTGTTGTTGGGTATATAAGCGCCACTGAAAGATTAGCCTTACATAGTGGTGTTGAAGGCGGCAGCAAGAGGCAGCAGAGGTGGTGGTGTTAGGCAGTAGCCCTATATACCTCCAACAACAATGGAGGAGTCGGTTTTGTGCTGTCCTTTTTCAATCGATTAATCACTTAACTTACTTGCTATACTGTTAAGGCTACACTTTATCACTGGCTGGAGCTATAGTCTTTATCGACTCCTGCTGCTTTACTATCGTACATATTGCAGAATCACTGAAAAAGGCACATTCTCCCCTCTCTCTTAGCCCTTTATGAAAGGGCTGGCTGGCACTAGATGCTTTCTTTGGGCACATGGTGGCTTATTTAGCAGTTACAAGCACTAGAAAGAATTGAATAATACAAAATGTTTCATATGAATGCATGGGATCATCCTCACTGGCTGGTAAACAATGGCACACTGGCTGTACATGTAGTGTCGAGGCTGTTCAGGCCGCGTGGACACGTTCCGGATGAATTACTTATACCGAATTCAGTGACGTTCGCAGAGCCAATATTTTGACCAAAAAAAATTACTTATTCTGAATATTACTTATTCCAATGACAACTCAATCCGGGGGTCCACTGTACAGTGGACCCTCGACCAACGATGGCATCGTCTAATGTTAAATTCGACTAGCGATACATTTTAACGCAAAAATTTTGCCTCGACTAGCGCTAAAAAACTCGACCAAGACGATTCGTTCCGTCTGAGACGCGTCCACTTGTGGCCAGTGTTTACAAGCCAGCCAGCCACCGCGGTCCCTTCCAAACATACAGTCGGAGCGTTTCATATTATCACAGCGTTTTTAGTGATTGCACCTGCAAAATAAGTCACCATGGACCCCAAGAAAGCTTCTAGTGCCAACCCTACAGCAAAAAGGGTGAGAATTACTATGGATATGAAGAAAGAGATCATTGCTAAGTATGAAAGTGGAGTGTGTGTCTCCGAGCTGGCCAGGTTGTACACAAAACTCCAATCAACCATCGCTATTATTGTGGCCAAGAAAACGGTAATCAAGGAAGCTGTTCTTGCCAGAGGTTCAACTATGTTTTTGAAACTGAGATCGTAAGTGATAGAAGATGTTGAGAGACTGTTATTGGTGTGGATAAACGAAAAACAGATAGCAGGAGATAGCATCTCTCAAGCGATCATATGTGAAAAGGCTAGGAAGTTGCATGAGGATTTAATTAGAAAAATGCCTGCAACTAGTGGTGATGTGAGTGAATTTAAGGCCAGCAAAGGTTGGTTTGAGAGATTTAAGAATCGTAGTGGCATACATAGTGTGATAAGGCATGGTGATGCTGCCAGTTTGGACCAAACAGCAGCTGAAAAATATGTGCAGGAATTCAAGGAGTACATAGACAGTGAAGAATTGAAACCTGAACAAGTGTTTAATTGTGACACTGACAATGTTGTGAAACACTTTAGGAATGTCATAAAGGAACGGGAGGTACAGGCCTCTATGGACAGATATGTTGTGCGACAGAGGTCCAGTGACTCTCAAGCTGGTCCTAGTGGCATTAAAAGAAGAAGGTAAGTAACCCCGGAAAAGGACTTGACACCAAGTCCCAATGGAAGGGGATTCCTCTTCTAAACACTAACACCATCCAGTCTCCCCTCCTCCCATCCCATCAATCATCACCAGATCTTCAATAAAGGTAAGTGTCATGTAATTGTACATGTCTTCTTCAGTTTGCGTGTATTAAAATTAATATTTCATGTGGTAAAAATTTTTTTTTTCAATACTTTTGGGTGTCTTGCACGGATTAATTTGATTTCCATTATTTCTTATGGGGAAAATTAACTCGACTAACGATAATTTCGATTAACGATGAGCTCTCTGGAACGGATTAATATCGTTGGTCGAGGGTCCACTGTGTTTGTATCCCATATCCTCTTCATACCTCCGTCGAACTGCTTGGTATTATGCCAAACATTATTTATTCTGGAGTATTTAACATGTTTTTATGTTACTTATATTGTTTAATATGTCATATTTGATCAGTTGTGATAGGCAAATATCCGTAGTGTTGATACTAGCGTAATAATAAAGCATATTCCCCTGCATCACAAGACCGAGCTCATGGCATCCAACAGTGGCTTCAAAGCCACCTCATCTTTAATGGACAATGTACTGTGTAGGTGCTTTACACAACAAGCATTTCTTTTATTCATTGGAACCATGGCTAGGGCTAAAAGTAAGCAGGTTATGACAATAAATGGAAGAAATTTTTGGGGAAAAAATTATGCAGCAAGTAGTGCCCCCAAAAACATCCCCAGAGGTTGATGTGGGCCCCGGGAAATTTAAAATTTATGGTAGCCGAAATTAGTGCCGATTAATGATGGAACTTGATGTTGATTGCTTATTTGTGATGAGGCCCTGTAATGCAAAAAGGGTGTGTTAAAACCCTGTGGACAAAAGGGGGTTTAACAGAGAAGTTGGCCAACCTTGGGGGCTGTGTCCAGCCAGTACTCAACATTTATGAAATAAGTACAGGGACTAGGTTCTTGATGGGTTTTAAAATTTTTTCCTTTAAAAAAAATAGGTTTATTGATTTTTTTTTCTAGTCAGTAGCCATGCCTCACCAAAGCATTTTTAAAATAAAAAAAGTTTTCCCTTCACCACCTTTTTCACTCCCATCTTCTAGATAATGTTTTTGAAATAGATCTTCATTTACTTATTAACTTTTAATATTGTTTTGGGCTTAAAACCTGTGGCACTTGCCAGATATTGATGTTATAGTCTTATTAGCAGTTGTGAATAGAAACTGTTGTGAGTATGAACTGGTGAGAGTACTGACTGGTGCAGACTTCACTGTGTTAGAGAAAATGGCAGTGATATCTTGCAAAACATTTCATTAAAACAATAAAAGTATGCATAACATACTGTACCATAACTATTAACTCATACTGTCAGTTGTTTAAGACAACTTGACTCATTCTCACTGCCATTTTCTTGCAGTGGATGGAGTCTCGGAGCTTGATTATCCTGTACGGGAGTGAAACAGGAACAGCACAAGAAGTGGCTGAAAGAATTGGGAGGGAGTGCCGTCGCTACTACTTCCTTCCAGTAGTATCTGCCATGGATGACTTTCCTGTTGATCAGTTAGCCAAGAGTCCACTGGTAGTGTTTGTTGTCTCTACTACAGGCCAAGGTGATGATCCATCTAACATGAAAAACTTCTTCACAACTCTCTGGTCACAAAGAAAGAATAGACAACTGCTGGTTGACCTTAAGTTTGGTGTTCTTGGTCTGGGTGATTCTTCATATCAGAAATTTAATTATGCTGCTAAAAGACTGAATAATTTGCTTGCATATTTAGGTGGTCAACCTATTCTGAAGATGGGTCTTGGTGATGACCAACATGATCTAGGCCCAGACTTTGTCATAGACCCTTGGTTGAACAATTGGTGGAATAAAGTTTTGGAACTATTCCCTTTACCAGCAGGAAGAGAACCTCTGAACACTAGTGTGCTCCTACCATCCAAATATAAGACAAGATTTGTAGAGTCAAGTGATGGGAGTGACTGTCTGATTCAAGAGAGGTGCTTAGCAGAGTCTCAGAATAGAGTTTGTGCAAGCACTATGTATCTTGCAGAAGTAACATTAAACAAGAGACTGACTTCTCCACAACACTTTCAAGATGTCAGACTTGTAGAATTTGATGTAACCTGTATCAAAGAGAAGCAGAAGCCAGGCGATGTTCTTATGGTGCAACCCCAAAACTTAGAAAATCATGTTGATGAGTTTATGAATATTCTTGGGCTAAATCCAGAGCAGGTGTTTTACTTAGAGTGTAATGATCCCAATGCTCCATTACCTCCTATCTCCATACTACCCAGGCCTTGCACAGTGAGGCAATGTGTACAAAAATACTTTGATATCCAAGCCATTCCTAAAAGGCACTTTTTTGAACTTTTGGCATTTTTTACAAAGGATGAAACAGAGAGAGAAAAGTTTCAAGAATTTGCTTCAGCAGAGGGGCAAGAAGGTCTTTATGATTACTGCCACCGACCCAAGAGAAGTATAATGGAAGTATTGGATGACTTTCCTCACACCAAGAATAATATTCCCTTTGACTACTTATTTGATTTAGTTCCTGCAATAAAAGCTAGATCATATTCTATTGCATCTTCTAGCCTTGCAATACCAAATAAAGTCCAGCTTCTGGTTGCAGTTGTTCAGTATCAGACTATTCTGAAGCGACCAAGACTGGGACTGTGTACAAACTGGCTAGCTAGACAGTGTGTAGGAAAGTTAGTACCTGTCTGGATTAAATCTGGAACATTAACCTTTCCCTCTCTCACCGAGGTCATTCCACCAGTTGTGATGATTGGTCCTGGGACGGGATGTGCGCCTTTCCGTGCATACATACAAGAGAGAGTAGCAAGCGGCCACCACCAGAGTTTAGTTCTTATTTTTGGGTGTAGAAATAAGAATAAAGACTTTTTCTTTAAGAAGGAGTGGGAAATGTTAGTGGAAGAGAAGAAACTGAAGCTGTATTGTGCTTTCTCTCGGGACCAAGAGGAGAAAGTGTATGTGCAACATAAGATGAAAGAGCATGCTGCTGAACTGTGGACTCTGATAGCAAACCCCCAGACAAGGATTTATTTTGCTGGTAATGCTAAGAGGGTGCCAATTGATGTGTATGAAGCCCTCACCTACATATGTGAGAAAGGTCGGGGTAGGGGAATACAGGATGCTGAGCAGTATATGAAGAAGCAGGTAGAGAAACAATACCAAACAGAAACATGGGCATAGCAAAAAACTATATGTGAGTTAAATCTCATCCTATTAATATATACAAATAGATTTATGTGGAGACATACTTTATATAGACTTAATTTATGTAAATTTTCTATTTTGAATTGTCCAGTTTCTGTTGATGAGCCAGTGTATGAGATATACAGTCGCTATGTAATTGGTAGATTATGAGTCATGTTTTGGTGCATATATCATCTCTTAGTAGTAACATAGAGTGTACATACTCAGTATTCTCCCTTAGTTACAGACACTGTAGGAGTTTCATAGGCATTTGGCCTCAGTGCTGAAGGGCCATCTTATCTCAGGTCAGTTCAAATCCTGTAGCAGTAGCATGTGGATATATCATTGTAACACTGTAATTCACAGTATCCACATACTCCTATACAATAAACAGCAGAACTTACACTGTGTATTTACTCTCCATTATTCTGAGTGACTCTGCACATGCCCGGATAGTGGATTTTTTACGCTCTCCATAACAAACGGCTTTCCATATAGTAGTATGTCATTCTTGTTATTCAGAATTCATTGTTTATGGCTTGGTTAAGTTTAGTACAGATGCCCTGTACAGATTCTGTGTACACAGTTCAACTAATATGCACTTTTGTAGAAATGCAAAAATATAGAATGAACAAAATGGCACAGAAAGGCACAGTACCATAATTGGAACAGTATACAAATAACCTACATATATGAGACCGAAGCTTACAATGACATATTGGTACGACTTGGACCATTTAACCCTTTCAGGGTCCGTCCCGTAGATCTACGGCTGGTCGGTGAGTGTCCAAACCGTAGATCTACGCCAAAATTCTAGCGCCGTCAAATTTAGCGCGAAAGCGCTCATAGGCCTACATATGAGAGAATGGGTCTGCGCCGTGGGTGTGTGCCATAAACAAAAAATCTAGGCGCCTGCATAGCATTGTGGGAACGCCGGCTCAGTCACCCTTGTTCACCATGTCTCGTCGCAAGTCAGCTCTCACTCCCCGGAAAATTGGGACTCTCCTCTTCCTGTCTGATAGTTCTGACACTGATGGAAGTGGAAATGAAGACGAATTCTATGGCTTTGATAAGTTAGTGACCGAAAATAATGACCAGGATATCGATAATAGTGCAGAAAACCCCGACGATCCTCGACCTTCTACCTCTGGTGTGGGCACTCGTGACTCACGGTCGGGTGTTCCTAAACGTAAGAGAAAACTAATATTTTCCCGTGGCCTGGCCTCTGACTTCAGTAATGACGATGATTCTGACGTGGATTGTGATTTTATTGCGCTCGACGATCATTCGAGTAGTGATAGTGAGGAAACATATTCACCAGTGAAGCGTCGGTATGTTCGCCGCCGCATGCGCTCGGGTAGTGTACCCTATGCTGTGCCCAGGGGACGGAGTTCATCCCGGAGTACATCCCGGAGTACATCCCGTGGCCCTACACCCGTTTTAGGTAGTGATAGTGAGGATGATGTGGCTACACTTGGCATGGATGGGCCACAGACATCAGTGGATGGTGTTAGTGGGGCTGGTGGTGGTAGTGGCACCGCCATGCGTGACTCGCTGTGCCACGCGGGAACCCACGCTGCTGACTCGTCAGTTCAAGGACAAAGCGGAGCGTCACCCACCAGCCCGCCACAACCACCCGTACAACCAGCCTATGATGTCCAGTATCCACCCGCAAACCGTATCTGGGA